TACAGAACTGTGACCAGTGCAGGATGCTGCTCAAAAATGTTGTGAGAGCCAGTTAGTTACCAAAACCCAAGGTAGTAGGTGCTACCATCTGTAATCACTTCCCTAGTGTCAGAATGAACTGCTTTCTCCTCAGTCACAAGATCATACAAACCTGAGGGAAGACTGGCATACTTCCCTGCTCTGGAATAGGTGAAACCTAGAACCTTTTCTATACTGACACTGCAGGGACTGCCATCCACAGAAGTAAATGCATAAATTACAGTGGAGATTCCAGTGGGTGGGGAAGTTTAATGGACATAGAATCACCTACATCCAAGTAATCCCACATAACAAAGGACTGTAGCAAGAGGCTAGTTAGGTTCAGAGAAAACTGTATCTTAAAATAATAATAATATGCATTCACAAGACAATCCGTTTTGAAAAGTGGGTGAAGGTCTGTCAGTTGAAAATGGAAGAAGAAAATGGGTATCCAAACTAGGACATCACAAAAATGAAATTTATAACAGTACTAATATGATACATGCTGTACTATATGCTGTCAGTTGTGGAGATCCACATTCTGTGTATGTCTCAATTCCACAATCAGTATAAATATGTCTTGATTCCAGTGGGTCCCCTAGTTGAATTGTATGACAATTTGACAGTGACTTGCCATGACATGCTCCCAGCTACTCCCAGTTTCCTCCTGCACAGTTTGACATGCAAATGTAATAAAAATACTTTATTGTTCTTCATCCAAATGTCTCATAAAGATTTATAGTAGTTTTGAACTTTGACAGGTGGATCCCCTGCATCTGGCAGGGTAACATTTCAGACTATTCCAAGAACAGTTGTCAACCTGCTTTGCACTGACATAGCTAATTCATAATCCATGTTCTTAAATTTTGCACACCAAAAGGCCTAAACGCTGCAGTATTATCCACTCAGAAAAAAAATTTGATAAGAACCTATCTTAAATAAATTAATTTCACATCAGTTTTCACTGATCTTAAGATATTCACAGGATATTTCCTATCTGTTTTCTGAATTTATTGAAACCCATTCCCCTGATGCTGTTCTCATTCTAGTTATTTTCATCCCTCTTTAATGACTGTTACAACTCACATCCCGTGGTCAAGAATATGTAACAGTGAGTTCCATTAATTATTATAACACAGAACAAAATCAACAGAATCAAAAGCAAAGTTTGAACACTTTCACAAAAAAACCCCAACACCACCATCAATTTTTTCTTAGCGAGTGGAAGTTTTGCTTACTCCTTTTGGAGTTCTTTCATTCTGCTGATGCTGAGGGGTTAAGGTTTTTTTAGATCCTCTAAAGCCAGAGCTAGAGTACAGTGACAAATATACAGAAAATAAGCAGAATTTTCACAAGTAGTATTTTCAGACATAATCACCGTAGTATTTCCCATATGCATTCTCCTGTTCTCTAGTTACACCAAAAAAATAACAAAAAACCAGTAAGGGAGAATTAACCAACTGTCAATGAACACATTTATGGAAGATGTGCTGAAATTTTTGAGTATCTGAAATTTCAATTTGTAAAGCTAAATTACAGAAACTTTTCCCTTACAGAAACTTTTCCCTTAGTTTGATTCCAAAGCTGGGAGAGGAGCATGGGAAGAGTGAATCAAACATTAGCTCTTTGCCAGATTTCTTATTCTGCTTTTTAATATTGTTTTTAATATACAGTTTTCCCCAGATAATATGCACTTGACTGGGTCAGATTGAAGGAATTAAAAATCTTAATAGCAAACTATTAGAGAAATAAAGGTAAGTATGGTTAGGCATTATTAGAGACTCTGTAAAGTTCTAGCTCTTCACTATGTTTCAAGACATCTTGCGTACCTTTTGCTATCTAAGAGCTCATCCTCTTCATTCCCACTTCTGTGCCAGTTCTAGCTTGCAATTTATTCTTCATCAAGTCATTTTATGCTATGGTTTTAATTAAGTCTTCTACAGGAAGTAGAAAACTATTTGCTATGTCAAATAAATGACCATGAAAAGTTAGCGGCAGTGAGAAACAAAATAGAGGAAAGAGAAGATCTCTCCTTTTTGGTGACAGTAAAACATTGTGCCAGTGCGAGCTGGTGGTGCAGAACTTTCAATGTATCAAGTGAAAGAAAGCTGAACAAACAGAAGAATGAGAGAGAAATATCTAATAACAGAGGCATACTGATAATTCAGCAGATCTGCATTGTGTCATCTGTATCACTAAAATAGATTTAATGTGCAAGAACCTGAAGATTCATATAAGTGCTACTCTCACTGACTTCAGTCAGAGGTGCAACTGCAGAGCATTTCAGAGTCATCCCCTCCTGCTCAAAGGAAAATCAAAGCAACTTCAGCTCTGGAGTGTAATACTCAGCTTAGATGAGGTCTTAGATACAATTATTTCAACTCATTACTAACCTTAAAAGCCTCTTATACTGTGCTCCTGCAGAGTTCAGTAGCTATGTCCCACCTGCCCTGTCCTCCTATGGCACCACAACTACCATTCCAAACAAAGAGATAAACCCTAAAGTTGCAGCATTGGGGTTTCACTGTGAAAGGCATGCCACCATAAATTCAAATATCGAGAAAAAGACTACCAGTAGTTCTGATAAAAGAAGTCATTTTTACTGTTAATAAGGACTGGCACTGCATTAATCACGCAGAAGAAACGTGACTGTAGTTTTTACTGCTTCCCGTATGCTAAAAGATAAAGACTTTTGTACACTCCTCAAAGTCACCATGAACTCCAGCAGTGACAAGATCAAAATCTGAAAGCAAGATGGAGAAAACCTGGAAGCACTACAGTACCACATTAACCCTGAGGAAAAACACACTGCTGACAAAACGGTGTTCACAATATCTTCCCAGACACTTGTTTGAGTAGACTTAAAGTCACTGCCAGTTCTTCATGAAGTTGCACAGCAAAATAGGTCAGGGGAACTGCTCTGAAGGAAAATAACTCCAGCAGACATTAAGTTTCTGAAGGGAAGGTGTGCACCTGTTCCCTTTCTCCCTTTATGTAAGGGTACTGACTTAAGTGACTGCACTATCTCAGACTTTCTGCTTCTCCTTGTACTCTGAAAAATACCATGTAAAAAGCCTCCACAGTCTCGGAACACTCTAGCTGATGGAAAAGATATGGAGTACAGCAAGCAGATAAACAAGCCTATGCAAGGAGAGAAAAGAAGACTGTAAAACATTATAGCATGTGCATCTGGACAACTTCAGGAAACCTGCCTTCCATAAATTGTACATAGTGCAGAACACACAGGGCATCCATAGAGATCGATGTGATGTGTAAGTGCATCTGGACTCCTGGAACACAGGCAGAAACCTAGAAAAGTATTTTTCTGCACAAGTGGGATGAACGTACATTTAAAAAATTATTTCACAGAATCGCAGAATCAATTAGGTTAGAAAAGACCTCTGAGATCATGGAGTCCAACTTACACGTGAACACACCACCACCACTAAGTCCCACATCCAGTCTTTCCTTAAACACCTTCAGGGATGGTGACTCCACCACCTCCCTGGGCAGCCCATTCCAATCTCTAATCACCCTTTAAGTGAAGAAATTCTTCTCAGTGTCCAACCTGAACCTCCCCTGGAGCAGCTTAAGGCTATTTCCTCTCGTCCTGCCGCTGGTTGCCTGCGAGAAGAGACCGATGCCCGTCTGGCTACAGCCTCTTTTCAGGTAGGTGTAAAGATCGGTAAGTCTCCCCGATCCTCCTCTTCTCCAGTCTAAACAACCCCAGCTCCCTCAGCCGGTCCTCATAGGACTTGTGCTCCAGTCTCTTCACCAGCCTCACTGCCCTTCTTTGGACCCTATCCTTCAAAGGACATGCAAAAGCGCTCCTGATTACCACAAACCATTGCTGCCTACCTCCCCCCTACAGAGCGGTGGTTGCGCTCTAAAACCCTCAGACGATCGGTTTTAGGGTTTTTTCTGGCATTAGGGCACCAGCCTGTGAAACCGCTCGTGTTTCCCGAAGCACGGGACGGGCC